TCTATACTGTGGATATGTCTCCTGAAACAACACCCTCAATCCTTTGAACTTATTCATTTATGTCTCCAGAGAAAACGTCAGAAAGGAATGGCTACTTTGCTGGTGATCCTTTTACAAAGCTACCTGCATCCCTGGGAAATCATTCAAGCTAAATTCTCTAACCTGAATACAATAAACACAAGAGGCCCAGTGTCATACAAGTTAGGGTGGAGTTTATTGTCCCAATACCTTAGTTACTTATATTTCACATAAAACTAAAGTGATGAGGAGGTGTCATAACAGGCATTTAGAAGCTACTTTTGCGTAATACATCACTCCTCACTTGAGCTCATGAAGTAACTGTGAGCAAGATGAGGGCTGGCATCTCTGCTTTCAGTTTGTGTCTGTCTCCTTATGTTGGGTCCTGCCTACCTCTGCACAGGCATGGTAGTCACTCAAGGAATGTCTGCTTACACAACCTCTTTCATTTCCTCTCAAGGCTGAAGGCATGAAGGTAAGTCATTGTCCTAAACCAATAGCTATCTTGTATTTTAGAAATAGCAAGGCCTTGTGGAATAATCATGCATGCTTGTGAGACTGTACTCCAAAGCAGAAGTGACTGTCTCCTGGCAAAAGTTTGTCCTCATAAACAATCAGGACTTGGACTACCTTCAAGGCTAGAGCTGAGAAAACAATCAAGAATAGCATACCTTGACCATGAGCATAGCTATCCATATACCTTCTTGTCTCAAGTTCTTATCTATTTAAACCCATAGTTCATGTCAATGCCCCAGAGAGGAGCTCCTCCTCTCAAGATGTCACATTCAGCAACCTAATCTTTATCATCTTGAGGTAAAGTGCCCCAGCCTGGTCTCTGGAACAATCATTTAAAAGAATGTTGTGTTATTTTCTTGAGAACACAGGCTGGTGATGAACTAATGGCAAGCTCCTTTGAAGATGCTGTCTAGCTTGTCATCTTTGATAATGGACAAAGAGTGTTATTGGAAGACCTACAGAACTTAAAAAGATACTGGTCACAGAGTGACTATACCTTGAGAATTTTCAGAATGTGTAGCATATCCTGCCTCATTCCACACCTGTAATGCCAGAAACCACAGTCCCCTAAAGATACTGAAATTTCTCACAATGGGAACAAGGAGATGGCTCAGTCAATAAAGTACCTGTGCATAGCACAGGACTTGAGTTTGATCCCTAGCACCTGTGTTTTAAATGTGCGTGTCTGTAGTCCCAGAACTAGTGTAGCAAAGACAGAATGACTAATGGGTCTTGTTGGTGACTAGTCTCACCAAATCAGAGAGCTGGGATTTCATGGGAGAGCGTGACTCTAGATAGATAGATGGATAGGTGCATAGGTGGGTGGATACATGCATACATACACGATAGATTGATCAATTGAGAGCAATTAAGGAGGACAAAGGATGTAAAATGTAAAACTCTGACAAACACACACACACACTAATACTTTTAATGATGATAACTCTAGCACATCTTTGATGCATTTAAAGTGTTTTCAACAATCCTAACCCACAGTAATTCTTAATAATTACATGCTTGATCTGCATTTTTTACCACTGAAGGTGATTAGAGTCAGTTCCTCAAAGTATATCAATTATTCTAAGATAATTCAGAAAAAGTGTGTGTGTGTGTGTGTGTGTGTGTGTGTGTGTGTGTGTGTGTGTGTTTCATTGGGCATTCTCAGAAGTTGGTTCTCTTCTGCCACCTTGTGGAATCCCAGGATTGAATTCAAGCTGCCAAGCCTGCTGAGACATCTCATTAGCCCTAAAACTTTGAAAACAATTAGTAACAACAGTAGTTTGGGCAAAACTCGAGAGTTGCTGATAGAGCAGGAAGCTCTAGAGAAATTTATAGAAGAATGAAAGCAGAAGCACTGGCCCTGGAAGACTGAGTCCTGAAAGAGGAGGCAGATGGGATGAGGCAGGGGTATTGTTTTGCTCATAAAAAAGTAAATTAGACAGCAAACAAGGCTTTTGGATCCAGGTTTGGTAATTAGTGAGGAGGACTCTTACCCCATCAGAACAGAGGATCTGAGGCATGGAGGAAGGTCTAATCATTCTTGGATGAGTCATTTGGGATCAGATGAGAGGAGGCTTTAATGTTAGGCAGGGATGTGTCCATCCCATAATAAGAAAATAGGGAGCTACTTCAAGTTTGTAAGCAAGAAGTCAGACTGACCAGCTACAAAGTGCTGAAAGCCAGGCTTTGGAAACCAGAAAAGAGATTAAAAAGTGGCAGCCAAAACAACATGGAGCAGGAAAAAGAACAGAAACATTCCAAAGACAAGATGAGAGAGACGTTTCAAAGGCACAGTCCATAGGACATGGTGACTAACTATCTAACCCAAATCTCCCTGGAGACCTGCCATCAGAGCCCGCCGGCGTCATCTGAGCAGAATGCCATGTGTGATTCATTTTCCCGAAATACTCTTTGCAGGGGACAGATGTAGGGAAGAATCTTTGCCCTGGTGATTCAAAAGGCAATGCTTGAGTATTTGGTTGGAAGAACACATTATTGCTTTCAAAGACAGAATAACTGTGGGTTGAACCTTAAGAACACATACTGAAAAGAAGAGGAGGTGAGGTGAAATATAGTTTGCTCTGTAAAAACGAAGTCACTCAGCTCCCACACTGAGGTCTGTCTTGCTGTCAGCAACATCACTGACTCTTGAAACAAATGGGATACTGCAGTCCCTTCCTTCCTAAAGGACAGTATGAGTTTACTAGAAGAAAGATGCATGGCAGGCACCATCATATGGCTACTCTTCTCCAAATCAGTCCCCATACCCAGAAAGCAACAGCATGGGGACTTTGGCAGTCCTGAGTAGTCTCTATCCATTCCACTCCTAATCCTTCTTATTAAGAAGACCTTTGAGGACTCCAAACTTTCTATTTTTACACATAAGCTTGAGTCCCATACTCCAAGGATGAAGCAGCTAAATGCGTATCTCTTCTACCTTTAACCAATCACAACACGCCAAGAGGGACAGCTAATCAGATACCTCACTGATGTTATTTTTAAAACAAACCACATTGCATAGCATTCGTGCAGCAATAAAGAAATCATCTCTGCAAGTGTATACTTAATAGGAATTTCACACAAAAATGTCCATGCAGTCACCACTTAAATACTGTCATGAATTGTACTCAGAATATGCCCCACAGATATTTGGACCCTAAAGTGACTCATCCCATATAGCTTTTCTAGAACTTCATTCCTTATGCTTGGTGGCTACACATTCAATGCTAATGTGATGACCCAATTGAAGCCAAATTTAAAAAACATTGGTGAAGCCGCTATGAAGTGGATGGCCTGCTCCTTCTACCATCGGCACATTCTGCTTGTGATGTCCCTCCTCACGCTCCATACAGAGCCAGTAAATACCTGTTGAGTCTCCAGATGTCATGCTTTCTTTATTTGGAGACCTCTCTCTTACTCCCAGCTCTAACCCTTTCCACCAAGAACACACCAGTCCTCTGTCCTGTGGACCAGACGAGAACTCTCTGTTCGCTCTTATGCTACAGCTTTTCCTAGGTGCCCATTCTGTCTTTGCATCCTCTGTTCAGAAAAGAGGTGAGTCCCTGACCTTCATCTCAGGGCTAGTCATCTTTACTGTGGTATTTAAACTTCTCTTTTCTCTCTATGAATGCTCTAGTAATCTTCCTGTCAACATGTCCATATCATCTAATTTGTCTAATGGTAAACAGTCATTGCAACTCAGACTGGTAAAATGCATCCTTGTTTACATTTAAGAGTTGGAGAATGGTGAAAGGAAAGTAGAAGGAATCAGTAAGCCCAGAAAGGACCACTTCTGTGATAAATATTTTATGTAGAGATGCTCAGTGGATTAAAGTTTCCCCAAGACATATTACAAACCATCAATCCAGTGTGAGTTCTCTGCCTTGCAGCACTGCAAGACATCCACTCTTGCTTCCTGCTTGAGGCCAAGGCTCACATTGCTTAGAAGGGCATTTGTATTTCCCAGAAATACTTTAAGTATTGTGGGTGGACACTAAACAAATATCTTTATAACAAGAAAAGGACAGATGAGTTTAAGGCATGCATAGGAAAGAAGCAAAGTTCAATTTCATTTTCAACTCAGTCTCTCAGCAGATGCTTGCCAAGATGTGATACACGCTGAATTAATCTGAGGACTTGATAGAACACATGGCAAAACCCTTGCCCTTTGAAGTTTGAAGTAAAGCATAATTAAACATAATTTATAAAGTAATATTGATTTCTATGAGGAAAATAAAGCAAAATGAAAAGACAGTCTGAGTAGAGATGTTTGAATGATATGAAAGCAAAAATAATAGGCAAAATAATAGAAGGCAAAAAAATGGAACATATAGAAATAGCATTTCCCAGAAACTAAAATATGAATATTGTGGAATGGCTCAGCAGTTAGGGATGCTTGTTGCTTCTCCCAAGGGCCCATGTTTTGTCCCTAGCACCCATGTGATGACTCAAACCAATTAACTCCATTTCTCAGGGATCAGAATCCTCTTCTAAGCTCCACAGGCACCAGGCACACATGTGGGGCATATGCATACATGCAGGCAAAGAGAGAGAGAGCTTCCTTCTTCCATGTCCTTTATATAGTCTACCAGCAGAAGGTGTGGCCCAGATTAAAGGCAGATCTTCCAATCTGAAGAGACGTGGATTAAGACTTTATCTATTCAGCCTCAAAGATCAGATTAGAAGAGGGACTTCCAACTTCAAATGATTTAATTAAGAAAAAAAGTCCTGTATGGGTATGCCAGTCATTTGGGTTTTAGTTCATTCCAGATGTAGTCAAGTTGACAATCAAGAACAACCATCCCATCCCCCAGTAATAAGGAGGAGATTGTTGTAGATCAGAGAAGTTTTATTATGGGTATTGATTTGTTAAGAATATGGAAGCTAAGAACTCTCAGTGTCTCAAGTGAAAGCTAGAGAACCAGGAGAATCAGAAAATGCAATATATAAACAAAAGACCTATAGGGTTTTTATTTGCTGGTTTGTTTATTTATTTTATGTCTAGACAAAGCATGAGGCAAAACATCCCCAAAAACCTTCCTCCAAAAATACCACTGAATTTGTTTTGTGTTGGCTTTACTTCTGGGCATGGGGCCTACTATTAAGCAGTTTGTTTTCCCCTAAGTCCATGGCCTTTGTAGTCCCGGGTTCTTGGCCTACTGAGTAGTGTCACTCATGGGTTCCATCTCATGGAGTGGGTCTTAAATCCAATCACATAGTGGTGGTCACTCCCACAACATTTCTGCCACTGTTGGGCCAGCGTATCTTGCAGGCGGGTCACCACTGTTGATCACAGGATTTGTAGCTGGATTGGTGTTTCTTTCTTCTTTGGTAGTATGCAGCATAACTTCCAACACTATAAGCAGAATAAAGGTACTAAATATTAGTTTTAAAGAGACTGTGATAGGTTAAGAATAATATTGTAACCCTTGGAGCAATTACTAAAATTAATGGCCTATTTTTTTGTAGTGAGAAAGTCAATATTGATATAAAAAATATGCTAAAAATGCTTCTTATATATTTATATAAATAATAAAAAGAGCAAAACATATACATAAGAAACGCAAATAGCTTTTGGAAATTCATTCACATCAATTATATTAAATATAAATGGGCTAAATGTCCCAGTCAATTCACAGAGATTAGTCTGTTAGATAAAAAAAGTAAGATCTGTGTATATACTAACTATGTAAGAAGTAAATGCATTCAAAGTAAAAGCATAGGAAAACTATATCCTGTATAAAAACATGAATATGAGTAGCAGATAAATAGATTTTAAGAAGCATATTTGCAGAGATAAAGGAAGATTTTCATGGTGATTAAAGGTCAATTTATCTGGCTAGAACAGTTATTTATGTCTGTGCTCATGATAGCAGATCCCCAAAATACATGAACCATAAACTTACATAACAGTAATATCTAGGGATTTCAATACTCCAGGTCAATAACTGGCAGACCCAAGACAGCAGCAACGACAAAAGCAAATCAGTAAATACATAGCACTGAACAATGTTGTCCAACAAAATAACATTCCTGGATCACTGTAGCCAGAGATCATAAATAAGATCATAAACTTTATCAAGTACAGAAGGATCATTCTCCAGAGACTTACACTGAGCCACAAAACAAGTTTTAACATACTTAAACACAATAAAATTATACAATGTTTTCTGACCACAACAGAAAGAGTGAACCAAGAGAAGAATAAATTTGGGGAATACTTGGACATGAAATAACACACTTCTAAAAAAACCACAGATCAAAATAGAAAAACACAGGAAAAAATGTAAAGGTTTTGAGCTGAAAGAAAATGAAAACACAACATCAAAATGTATTGGATGCATAGGAGACAGCATAAGAAGAAAAATGCATTGCTTTGGTGCCTGTGTCAGAAGCCTAACTCAGTAGCCTAAAATTCCACTTAACACAGCTGAAGGAGATGAACAAACAATAAAACAATGATTGGAACAGAGCTGAACAAAATCATAAACTGCAAGACAATAAAATCAACACAACCAAAAGTTGGGCTTTTAAAAAGATTAACCAGTTTACAAAATTTGCATTGCACTAACTAATAAGAAAGAGACACACATTGCCAAAGTCAGGAGGAAAAAAGGAAAAGCACTACCAACCTCACAAAACTAAGAAGTGTATAAGAGAATATTGTACTGTTATGTAGATGAATTAGACTACATACATGAAACTTTCAATTCCTACAAACATAGCTGGCAAGATGGCTCAATAGATATAGCTCTCACCATGTAAGTATGAGGACCTGGATTTGAACCCATATAGCCCATGCAAAGTCAGGATGGATGTGTAATCCCCAACATCCCTACAACAAGAATGTGAGGATAGGAGAGAGCCAGTGAGCCTGGCATACAGTGATGAACAGTGGCAGACCCTGTCTCAAGATGGAAAACAAAGACCAACACTCAAGGTTGTCTTCTCATCTCCACACTCAATCTCTCCCTCCCTCCCTCCCTCCCTCCCTCCCTCCCTCCCTCCCTCCCTCCCTCCCTGTCTCTCTCTCTCTCTCTCTCTCTCTCTCTCTCTCACACACACACACACACACACACAAACACACACACACAACACACACAGAGAGAGAGAGAGAGAGAGATTAAAAATAGACACACCTAGAAAGAAATAACTCATTTAATAAAAAAATAGGTCAGTTTCATAGGTAAAGTATTTATGCTAGCAATTTCGAATCTTCCAAAGAAAAACAAAATCTCAGAACCAAGTGAACACAGAATTATTTACTTTGTTAGTAAAATATCTCGTGTACTCATAAAAAGAATGCCAATATTGTAAAAACCTTTCAGAAAGTAAAAAAGAAAAGACTATCTAAGTCAGTGTTACCCTGTTAGCAAGGCCACACAACAAGAAAGAAAGAAAGAAAGAAAGGAAGGAAGGAAGGAAGGAAGGAAGGAAGGAAGGAAGGAAGGAAGGAAGGAAGGAAGAAAAGTTGTTATATCAGTGTGCCCAATAAATCACTGACACAAAACCTTTCACAAAAAATTAGATAGATAGATAGATAGATAGATAGATAGATAGATAGATAGATAGAATTATCAAGGTGAATGCAAGGTTGGTTTAACATCCAGAAAATTTAAACAGTAGAGGATTAAAATCCGCATAATTATTTTCAAAACTACAGAAAAAATAAGTCACTGCAATGGCCATAATAAGAAAGAAAACATCAACTGTTAGCATGATGTAAAGAGACCAGAGCTTATATATTGTTAACATGAATATAATAAGGTGCAGACACTTTAGAAATCTGTTTGGACGTTTCCTAAAAATGATGTCATCAGCTTCCCATATGACTACTTGGAATGTACTAAAGAAATGAAAACATATGTCCACAGAAAAGCTTGGATCTTAATACTCACAGCAACAATATACCAAATAAAAGGTTAAAAGCCAGAAATAGTCCTTATATCTATCAACTAGTGAACAGATTAAAAAGTATCTGATGTATCTCCACCATGAGATATTTTTCATCAAATAAAAGGAATGAAATTCTAATAAATGTAAAACATGAACTGATGCTTAATAAGAGAAGTTAAATACTAGAGAGTAAATATTTATATTAGTGCATTTATAAGGAATATGGAAAGGAAACATTTACAAAACTACAAAGACTATTGCTTGCTTAGTACTTGGAAGCCAAATAGATACTGATTGAAAGTAGTATCACAATAATTTTTGAGACTATACAAATGTTTTCATTAAAGGTTTATTTATGCATGAGCATGCATGTGTCCGTGTGTGTCTCTGTATAAGGGTATGCAGATATGTGTGGTGGGGCCTGAGGAGGCTGGTAGAGGCATAGGATCACTTGGAGCTGTAGGTTATAGGCATTTGGGAACTTCCCATAGTGAATGTTGGAATCTGAATTCTAGCCCTCATGACTGAGGCACATTCACTCTCAATCACTGAGCCATCTTTCTATCCCCAAAATCATGAAACTGTTCTAAACATGGATTTTGGTGACAGCTTACGAAGACAATAAATTTATCAAATTTCAGAAGATGAGGAAGAAGCAGGGGCCTTGAAAAGCATGGCAAAGGAGTTGGGTTTGAGTGCATGGAGAGTCACGCTAAGGTTTCAAGAAAGTGTATTGCATAGTCTAATTTCCCACTATGAGACTTTCCCCTTTGTTTTAAAATCTTGCATGCTGTTGAACTTTGGAGGAACAAGAATGGAAATGGGAGACTGCTAGGAGGCCCTTACATGAAAAAGGCAAGAAACAATGAAAGCTCAGATGAGAGACTGGATTTAGCCTCAAGAAAATGGAATTGTTGCCATTTAGCTCAATAAATGAAACAGGAGACCAAAGGATAAACAGTGCCAAATTTTCCCATCTCTGGATATAGTCATACAGCAAAAGAAAAAAGAAAAAGAAAAATCAAATAGATACCTCCCAGAGAGAGGGCTAAGTGAGTGGATGACTTCCGAGTCTCCAGGTTCCGTGGTTTCCAAGAGATGAACTTGGGGTAAACAAGAAAATGGAATGATTTTTAATCATGTAGCAGTCAGAGTTGTATTCAACATGTTATTTACATTTTAAGAACCTTTTTTTCCCCTTCAAGCATTTTATGTTTGTTTGTCCTAAAGAAGCCATCATCAAAAAATGCGGGTATCTGTGTATAGTTAGCAGTTGCGTACTTGAGTGGTGCATGCACGTCTGTTGCTCACACAGATGTACGGGGCCATTGATGGAGGCAATAAAAGGGGGGAAACAGAACAGGGGCATGGCTGATGAGAGACACCAGCTCTCTCTGCCGGCACCGGCACTGAGCAGTCTTGATATTTCTGCATGTATTTGAGTCTACTGCTTGTTTTAATTATCTTCATCCAATTCCAAGTGACGCATGATATCAAGCATGACCAAGAATGGAAATATTTCTTGGTGGCATTTTTTAAATCTTGATTGCTGCGAGGAAAAAAACAAACCTTTAAAAAATAGTATCTTTCCAAGAACAGAAGAGAGTCTTGTGGCTAGACCATTCCCAAAACGGAAGGATTAAAGATGCGGTCTGTTTGACCCATCCCTGTTAGTCATGGTAGTGCACCCCAGAAGGACTCAGAGGGAACGCACCACCAGAGCACCGGAAATGAAACTAGTACTGCAGCCAGGGGGACACTAGAAAGCTTTTTTATGTCTTGGTTTGAGAGGAAAGAGCTGTTTATTCAAAATGCTGCTTCGGGGGACAGGAAAACAAAGAGGAGAACAGCGACCCAGTGACCTCCTGGAATTGTTGGCTGTAGCTCAGCCTCCCTGCCTAGTCTGCAGGAAGCCAGCCATGCAGACTCCAAATGTCCAGCCCTAATCAGAAGAGGTGATGGGGCAGACCTCATGAGCTACAAAAGCCATGTGAATGCTATTAACCACGTTCAAAGTTCAGGGCGCTGCTTCCTCCCCAAGCATCAGGAGGATACCCGACAGAAGCTCTGAGGCTAGGGGTCAGCGCTGCTGCTTCTAGGGTTGGAAGCAGAGGACTTGTTCTTTCTCCCAAGAGAGTGGATGACCGTGGGTGGTCAGCTTTAGCTCGGAGTCCTTGGCTTAGCAGGAAACCCTCGTTTCTTCTGGGTCACCAAGTCACTGTGTCTTGGATTTGCAAGTTAGATGGGAACCTTATATAGTCTGTGAATCCATCCTGCTGACTTAGCTTTAAGGTGGCTTGACTGGTCCGTGATGTTAACATTACAACCTCTGTCAACAGTGCTGTCCCACGCCATGCTGACTAGTCCCATGAACAACCCAGGGAAATACTCATGAGCTGCTGTCCTGCCATTAGCGTGACAAGAGGACTCGGGTGTCTTTGGAATGTTTCTGTGGTTGGA